GCCCGTGGCAAGCGTCCCGCTCACGGGCAGGGGCCCGGTGACGCGCCCGCTCACGGCAGGGGCCCGGTGACGGCGCTACCGATGGAGGAGCCGGACGGCCGCTGGCAGTCACCGGTGAGAGCTGGACAGTAGGATCGGCGCGGCCCGGCACCGCCCGACCGGAGCCAGATGCGCCCGCTTATGGCGGCCACCAGGGAGTCAACACATCGACCGCGAGTCAAACACCGCTATTCAGCACTGGCGGGACCGGACAAGGGCTACGCTGTTTGGAAGGCGGCTGCAACGGATCACCATACCAGCCATCATTGTTTTTCCACTCATTGGTGATTGCGGTTCACGAAGAGAAGTGATGACCACGGCTCATTTGAAAACCGTCACGCACGCAGCTCAAACCTGATTGGAAGGCGGACAGTGTGGGTGCAGCGTGACCTTCGCCGCGTATGAACATCACATCGAAAGTCGTCCACGGCTTAGCGGCATAAACCAGCAACAGGTCAGTTTCCAATACAGTTGGAAGCAAAAGCCGGGGAAGCGCAGATTTCACCAACCAAATGTTTGATGACACCTGGAACAAACAAATCATGTCTGGGGGCCCTGCAGTACGGATGGCCCAAGACAATGCAAGGGAAAGACAGAAAAGTTATAGGCGAAGATGTCTACACATGTCATTTCGGCTACCGGGAGAGACTGCTGGCCTACGGAGACCGAACGAGCCCGCAAGTCAGTTGGATGAGGTGAGGGGAGAATACAAAACCGGTTGGAGATTGGAAGAATGGCTGGCGTAGTCAAGCATGACACGGTGGGTTTCAGGGAAGATGCTACACAAAAAAAAACATTACAAATCATGTGAATTTAATGTTCCCAGCATTAAAAGCCTACAGATCCAAAGACCATCCATGTCTGTGTCTACCTGATCAACGAGAGCCCAAGATAAATCTGGGTGTTACAGCATAATGGTACACGTTATGATGACAACGAATAACTTGAGTTCGAAATTGTGACCATTTACATGTGCAAAACACTGGACACAATGAGCACATCTACCGCAATAAAGGCAAACGGAACCCGACTTCCCCCAGGACTCTTGGGCTTGGCAGCCATTAATGAAGGGAACTATAAAGACCTTAACTTACTTTATCTTATGTTTCGGACAGGTACCCGATTTCGTATCTCCGGTTAGATTTCTTGGAAAACGTCGCTGATGTTTTCCTTATCCCGCGGTTCTGTTTAATTTCCGCCCGTTTGGATCCGTTTCAGGCACGGCACGATGCTTTAATACCAGCGTCACGCTTCCTGACCAAGCGGCCGTCAGTCCTCACTTCCTGACTGGCAGCCGGTTGCCATGCGTCCCGGCCGGCCGGGGCGCCGTGTCCCGCGAGGAGGCCGCTTCCGCTGACTGTTACCATGGGGAGGACACGCGGCGCCCTGCCGGTCCGGTCTCGAGTCGACATACAGCACCACTCGCCCGCTGTTTCCAGCGAGTGCGGAACGGAACGGAGCATAAACTGTGCTTAACACCTTGTGGTATTTGGAATTTGGAAGCGCCACTTGGCCTTACGGCACCAGCACTATTGAGCAAAGTGTGCTAGTTTTACTCGCCACACCTGTGAACCTTATCGGGCTTTAGACACCTGTGGCAAATTTTATCTTTCCCAACTATCCTGGAGTAACATGTGCGATGTGTTTCACCAGCTCATACAATGGTTTACAATAACACAACGGGCTGCTTCGGCTACCAGAGCACTGTATCCATGAAACAAGTACAAGCGCCATGAACTCCCACGTACGGGGTTCGGGTTCGAGTCCCGGTTGCACCACGTCACATGAGCACTTACATGGCCAATGCAGCAATCTTTAAAAGAAGCGTGACGACGCGCGTCGCGTTCCCTAAAAAAAAACTGCGTTCCATGTGCCAAAGCTTTATGAACTGGTTCTGGGGGATCTGTAGTTCTACCTTTGCACACCATGCCTTCACAATGTCCCCTACAGCGGCGGGACAGTAAGTACAGTGAGCGTAGCCGTCTCTCGAGGATCGGTTCGTGCTTGTGATGGGGGCCCCTCTAGTTGCCTGCACTTGGATCAGGTCGAGCAGCCCCTGATCCGCACGGTAGATGGGACCCAGACTGCGCTGCCGTACTCGTGATAACATCGCACGAGGGTCTAGAAGCCTAGAGACAGACACAGCATATAGCGTCACGAGTCCGCACTCTGGAAGGAACAATGACAGGGTCTGCGTAGACCTGGCGTCTGCCGCGGCCACCGCAGCCATCAGCTCCGGAAGTTGCAGGTCAGAGCCTACATGGATTCCCAGATGTTTCCCAGTGGTTGACTGATCAAACTGGACACTCCTCATTGAGCACACCTGGTGGGAGTTCCATGTTGTCATGTGAAACAGCATGCGTGCTCCAAGCCTTCGTCCAATGGACGCTACCACATACCGAACCAGGCATTCATGATGCTGGGTCCTTCTCAAGTAGCGCACTGTCCGCTTTCATTACCACACTGCCCAAGACCTTTGACCCTCGGCAAGCATCTCTGTCAAGCATACAAGCCTGGCATGCAAGTCAAAAAGGACCAGGAGATCTGAGCCCAATACCAATGCCCACCATACACCAATGTTGGCTGAGAGCCAAGGAGAGTTGAGAACTTTTTAGTAGCATAGCACTTGTTGACATCTCATGATAAAATGCTGGCATGCTTGCTCTGATGTGATGCTTGCAAGTGGGTAGGATGGCATCAAATGCTCCACAAATCTATCCTTGATGTTGAGCTTGAGGATCTTGGGAGGATGGCCACCTGGCTAAGAGTATCCTTCATCCTTAAGAGCATCCTTAAAAGCATCCTTCATCAGTGAAAACTGCATGCAACTATTGCCAAGATGTTGCGCACCAGTAGTGCAATGGTTACCATGTCTGTGTTAACCCCCATGTGTCTGGAAAACCAGGGGTACTGGGCCTGATTCTCTGCAATGCCTGCCCTTCCTGCAAGGGTGAGAGGCAGGTGACACCACATAGCCTCAGCAGCTGGGTGCATTTTAAAACCCCAACAACAATGATTGCTAAGATGACAAACATTTTGTGTATCCTCACTTATCACACTCCTGGTCCCATCCCCTGAGCCTCTGAGCCTTGTTCTGATATTGAATAATAAGCTTTACCTCCAAAAATATTTTGGATGCATGGTTTACATTCTCTACAAAATATTTCTCACATTTTAGTGCAGACCTTGATAAGGCACTGAAAAATATGTTCTATGATGGCTGAAGAGATTTTAAAAAAATACACAGCAGAATATGCAATATGCCCATAATGTTGTGACTGAATCCGGTTAGAACATTGTTAAGCTTAAAGCTTAAGTAAAGCTTATGCTTTACAACATACTAGTAGCTGAGGGTATATGGTGTTGCCTGCCTCTTTCCCTGGCAGGAAAGGTTGACACTGCACAGAATCTTGCCAGGCAAGCCAATTGCAAACAGACAAACCAGACAAACCAAACCAGACAAACCAAGTGCTTACATGTAGGCTTACCAGACAAGCAGCTTAACCACTGTAGAAAAAGCTCCATTTGGAATGAAGATGCACCAATTTGTAAACAAAGCATACACACTGGATTGCATGCATGGAAGCATGGATGGTTGGAAGCATGGATGATTGGAAGCATGGATGCTGATACCGCAAGGAATAGAAGGGTAAATACATAAAAGCATATGCTTACCTGAGGCTGTTACACTGATGTTTGGAGATTTCTTGGGCTAATACACAGCATCCAGGCACATGGACTGTGCACAAAAGAAGACATCAGCACATGAACATTGTGCTCTTCCACTCCACTGTTGCTTGACTCTGGCTAGCTGGACCTGGTTTGAGTTTGTTTGTCTCACATGAGCAACTAGCTCTGTAATTCTATGAGCAATGACCCAGCGACAGGTTTGCTGAATGAGATCTTACTGAAGCAGGCATTCGAGCGATAGCCCAAATACTACTGTGAACACGCCGAGGCACCTCGCCACGCCAAACATCAGAAACCAACTTGCTAGCGTCCAATTAGCGACGTTACCCGAACGAGTTGATCTGAACGACTTTCCGGAATGCCTATCGATAGCTGCACTACTAGCTGCCGGCCTTGACAGAACTTTCAACAATCTATCCCCCCGTATCCGCCGCCACCCTCTCGACCCCCACCCCACAACGATGTCAACACTCACAGGCCGCGGCCCCAGGATCCATAAAAGTGAGACAATTCTGTGCCGCATTGGCCGCCTTTGTCTCCAGCAGCGCGAGCTGTACTGAAATAAGGTACCATCCTTGAGGTGTGTTTATGATGTAAATGTCATAATGGGATATTTAATGTTTTATTTTATGATAAAAATGGCACATTTTTAGTTAAATTCATCTTTTTTATTAAAAGTCAAATGTTTATTTACACAAAATATAGTATTAAGAGAAATTTATCATGCAAGTCGCAACCAGAGCCCAAGCTGATCATCATAGCCGGTAAACACTTTTGTTGAACCCTTGATGACACGAAACCTTGATGTCAATAGGAGAGTCACCATTTATTGCGAGGATTTCAGGGGAGTGTGTGGGGGAGCGGACGTGGTTGCGTGTTAAGTTAGGAATATTCACTAGCTGCATCGCCTGATTTTCTGTCATAATTTGAGGTATGAAGGTTTTTCAGACCAGCGTGTTCCTTACCTGGTGCATGCGTGATCTATGCCGCAGTGATGTAGGTGATTGTCGTGCCCACGTAGAAAGTATGGCGGATTTAAGGCTGGAACCTACAAAGTAGAGGAGGATTTTGTAGATAGCCTGCTGTTTAACTGGTATCTAATTTCACCTGCGTTTTGGTATCAAGTGTTTTTAAATTGAGCTGACTATTTGCATTGTTTTGTTGATGCTGAATGTGAGCATTGAGGATGACATAAAATTCAAGACATTTGTGCCAGAAAATTCATATGCTGCATCGACATTACAATTCTCGAAGCAGTGTTAACTACTTTTGATGGCTGTTGTGTGCTGTTGTATTTAATGGAGTTAAATGCAGTCTCAAAAGTCTTAAGGGATGCATATGAAATTGTAAGAAACATAAGAATTTATCATGTGGATAATGGCTGACTCCTGTCATATCAAAAAGTCTTGTTAAATGACAAGTACCAAATGAAATCAGAATGGAAGTTTGATAGAGATTTTACAGGTGATTGTGAGCTTTATGGGGCTGGAATTGTTGAGCACTTCCATGACATATTTTAGTTGTTATACAATATGCTCTCTTAATACCACCCTGTCTTTTGAAGACCACTTTTTATCAGCATGAGATATTTTTTTGTGATGAATGGACTGGATATGACTGGGTTAAGCCGGACATGAATGTGTAGTTTCTTTAGTTCAGCAAATTATGAATTTCTCTTGGATGGATTGAAGAGTGTTATCAGGCATATGTTGTGTTACTTACATTTACTTTGTCTGCATCATTTGATATAAAGATTGTGCTAAGATATAATATTTGTTATCTCTATGATAAGGTTTGGGATTAGGAGCATTAACACCTCAAGGTAATGCAAACATTGATCTGTTCAGACCACCAGTGTGGTCATATCATGTGATGACTGTCTCCTACTGCTTTCTAACCACTGTTAGCACTTGATGGGAGATGATCATTTTAACCAGCAGCAAGCATGCAAAGTAGTGAATGTGATGCTCATGCAAGTCCAGTGGCACTTGGTCCATATGTCACTCATGTCCATAGATATGCTAGCATATGCCTGTTATAGAAAGTAACTGTTGCATCCACATACTCATGTATGTCTCAGTTATGCCACTCATTTTCTAGCTTTAACACAGGAAATTTGATTGAGAAGAGCATAGAGGATGTATATTTGGTTTATCATCAATACAAGGTATAATGTTTGTCATCAATACAAGGTATAATGTGTAAGGAGAAATGTTGGTGCCCTAGATTATGATGAATCAGTATTGGTTTTTGACAATCAATGCAATCAATTTATTATCAATGCAAGTTATAATGTTTATCATCAATACAAGGTATAATGTTTAAGGAGAAATCATGTCGGTGCCCTAGATTAGGACAAATCAGTATTGGTTTTTGACTCCTTCCCATGTCTCTCACTAAAACATTGAAACACATGTATTAATAGCTGTGATGTGGATGTATTGGCCAGTGTTGGACTGTCTTTGCCTGCAATCTGGTGGTTTTCCTGAAACCCATAGTATGTTACCAGGTTTAATACTGCAGGACTGATGTTTTTGTACTTATTAACTAAGGCATTGGTTATACTTTGACCAACTAGCAGCATGTAGCTGAGTTTTTATTGTGAAAAGCTGGTATGAGGTATATTAATTACTTCTTGTGTTTCTTATTTGGATATCACCTTCTAAAGGGCTGCTATGCTAAATGCTTTGTTGCATTTGTGTGTATGTGTTCATGTGTGCTGGTACTCCTGCATTTGAAATTGTAAAAGCAACAGAACATTCAGCTCAGCAAATATATTGAACACTAAAACAACACTTTCCATGATAGCACAGTTACATTGTCATTCCTGGTGTTTTCCATGTCCATCAGATAGAGAGCATTGGGCGGTCTGCCCCATGTGTTCCGCCGTGCCGTCGCTGCCGTTCTGCCTGGCGCCCGTTGTGCCACCGGCCACCGCACGCTGAACCGGCTCGTACGTCCGTCCGCAGGCTGCTCGCCGGCCGGCAATGGTAGCCGGCGCTCGGTGACGCGGCATGGACCAGAGCCAGGCGCCGTGCATCGAGCTGTCCACGAACGCAGAGGAACGACAGCGCACCGAGTCGACCGCCTCGAACACGAGCGCCGCCTCTAACGAGCCGCTGCTGCCTGACGTCGCCTTCGGGCCGTCCTTCATCAAGCTGGGCTCGCCGCGGCCGGGACGCGAAAACCAGCCGCTGCTCGGCGGCATGGACTACGACTACACCTTCAATCACTGGCCCGGTGAGCGTCAGAGGGTGTGCCGCGGCCGGGCTGGGCCCGCCTGGTCTCTGACACACGGCACGGTGCTGCACTCGCCCAGGCGCTCGGTAGGAGCCGGTTTCTGTCCAAGGTGTTGGATCTTAGGAACACTGACCATCGCGGCACCGCAGACAAATTGGTGCCCGATTTGTCCGCGATGCTATGTGTGAATGCATGAGCTCGGGACTACTCTGTCAGTTGTCATGAGAATGGTTGTAGGTGTGTAGTGCTACAGTTATGCTGCTTTGTGCAAAGATGGAATGATGAGTTGCAGGAGTCGTTTGGCATTGTATTTATCCTTGCTCTGGTCATTCCGTACAACCACGTTAGTGTAATACTTACCCGATGTGTTCGTACGTTGGCTGTCGGGTTCAAGGACAAGGTCTCAGCCATCTGTGAAATGCGCGCTTTGGCACGTGTTGCATGCGCGCCCAGCTGGGTAAGGTTACACACTAGCCTATGGGAGCGCGCTGCAGAGATCCTCCGGCTCACACCTGAGTGAGCCGGTGTGTGGCCTCCTGCCGCGAGCCATCGCCGCTCGTGCGGCTGCGTGCGGGCTGCAGGGCCGCTGCTGACGTCCGGGCGTGAGGGTGTGAGTATGCGTGTGGCAGGAGGTCAACGACCCGGTGTGCCGCGCGTGCGTGATGGCACGTGCGCACGTTTCAGATGACGGCGAGTTCACGGACCTGGTGCGCCAGGCCGAAATGGCCGTCGAGAACGGCATCTACCCGGAGCGCATCTTCCAGGGCTCCAGTGGCAGCTACTTCGTGAAAAATCCGGAAAACGTGAGCCGTCAGCCGCCCCTGCTGTTGTACGGGAGGGAGTGAGAGATGATGTATGAGAGAAGTGTCATGAGGATGTGGGGAATGTCATAAGAAACGCTGTAAACGTAGTCACCGTGCGGCACAGTTTCAGTATCCTGGACAGTTGTGTTTAGACCTAGGAATGTCGTGCCAAGAAGTGTCCAAACACGACAGCTATCAGCATAGCTGATAGCGATGGCACTTAAGTTATATCTCGTCTGGCTCGGTCCAGGCGCATCCTCGGTCGCCCCAACGCGAAACTGAACCCTCCCCGCGCCTGGTCAGAGGCACCGGACTGGTGTCGACACCGTGTGGACGGGGCGCCCCGGCTGCCGCCGGAAGACGGGGCGTCGGGCGTGTACAGGCTGTTATGACTACAGGAGACTTGCTCAGGCATTGTATCATCTCTGTCTGGAGCAGCGTGGAAACAACGCAGCACTTCTGTCAGACTGCCCGCATGCTGTGTGTGACTGCAGAAACGCAGAGGCGTGTTCTGAACCGGTGCACTCTGACACTTGAGGGCGTGCCTACGGCCGGTCCCGCTTGCTGTCAGCGCGCGCGCATGGTTATTTAGAGCAGCTGTTCCCGTCACTAACGGCGCCGGGGGCCGTCCGTTTGCAGAAGACGATTGCCGTGTTCAAGCCCAAGGACGAGGAGCCGTACGGCCGGCTGAACCCCAAGTGGACCAAGTGGATGCACAAGCTGTGCTGTCCCTGCTGCTTCGGCCGCTCGTGCCTGGTGCCCAACCAGGGCTACCTCTCCGAAGCCGGCGCCAGCCTGGTCGACCAGAAGCTGGCGCTCAACGTCGTGCCGAAAACCAAGGTGCGGGTCGGGGCGGGGCGGGGCGATCGAGGCCGCGGGGAGCAGGCGCTTACGTGACGTGTGGTGGCGCCTGATGTGTGCTCGTGGTGCGAGGAGCGGTGACTTGGCTGTCAGAAGGTGGTGACAGACTGACACCATTTAGGGCGTTATTCTCTTGAATTTCGCCGGGTAAGCAGCGAATAGTCCTGTTTCCAGGAATGGGGTTCGCCCTCTGTTGGCTTAGTTGAATGTTTAATGATATGATGTCATCGGCAAGCGTTGTCGTCTCTCAAAGAGATATTGTGATTAGCATGAGTGGCATAACTGCTGCCATGCGTTTACGATGCATTAATGAGCGTACGTTTATGTCGTATAGTGCTCTCGGGCTTGTAACCTCGCCAGGAATAGGTCATGAAGCCATTATGGTAGGATCGTAGTTCGTCGGTTGAGGCTGATTGTTCGTCAGTGTGTCGTTCGAATGGTCGAAATGTTGTATTTCATGCGTGGTTGTGAACACGTGAACACTAGTCGCGTCCGGCAGAGTAGGCTCCAGGGTAGCTTCCGACTTGTTATGACGCAGCGCGGCTTCCAAGATGTTGTTCGTTGTGCCGTCACTGTCCCGAATGAGTCTCGGATGTCATCCGGTTTCTGCGTGTTCACTGTGTGTTCGGTGTGCTGTGGTGTAGCGCACGTGACGTGACGTACCCCGTTAAGCAGGCCGGCTGTGGTCGTGGGAGACCAGCATGCCGATAGCGTAGTGGTTAAGCTTCGCGTCTGTGAATCCAGAGGCACGGGGCTCGATTTCCCGTTAGATTTCCCCGCCCCTCCTGCCAGGGCGAGAGGCGGGCGGCGTTATTTAGCCTCAGCGGCTGAGTACGTCGCAGAGTCCCCATCACACACGCGGTCCTGGGAGAATTGTACGTCCGTCCGACGTACCGACATGACACGTCTGAAGACCGCTTATCGTGTGCCGCAGATGGTGAAGCTGGCCAGCGACACGTTCAACTACACCAGGATCGACAGGGAGAAGGCTCGGGTGAAGCAGCTGGTCTCCGAAAGGTTCCCCAAAGTGGGCAGGAAGTTCCACAGGCTGGGCCTCCCTCCCAAGGTACCGGTCGTCCTCGCCCGACGGCGTGCGCCCGGACAGGCGCGGGGTGCTAATGGGAGGGGTCCGGCTCGCCCATTGTTTGGCAATGTTGTCCGGTGCGTCTCGCGCACGACTGAGCCGCTGTCACTTCCCATCAGAAAGCGTATTAAACCGGCGAGCTGGCAGGAATGCATATTGCATGGCATGTTCATTACTGTGAGTGGCGCGTTCTGGAACATTTCCCAGCAAAGCAGCCGTGTTCTAAATGCGTGACTGTCGTGGCTTGCCCTGTACTAGACACTCCTTTCCTTCGTGGCCTCTTTCAGTAGCCTTTTTAAACCGCGCGTGCATAGCGGGTTTCAGGTCTTCCGCGAGACCGTGGCGGATCGGCCACGCGACCTGGTGACGTAGCCGGCGCCGGCCCGTTCCAGGTGGGCTCGTTCCAGCTGTTCGTGGAGGGCTACAGGGACGCCGACTTCTGGCTGCGGCGGTTCGAGCAGGAGCCCCTCTCGGACGAGCTGCAGACCGAGTTCCAGCTGCAGTTCGAGCGACTGGTGACGCTCGACTACATCATCCGCAACACGGACCGCGGCAACGACAACTGGCTCATCAAGTACATCCGGCCGGATGAGCAGCAGGTGAGGGCTGGCATCCCGACGGAAAGGTCTGCGGTGGAGCCGGAGGCGCGGTGTTGGCGGGCTGGAGCTGGCTCTGTTGTGGTTGGCCGTATTGGAGGCACTGGATCCGAAGTGTCATGTTAGTGAAGTGGCGATAACATTGTGGTCTTTACTGTAGGCTTTACTGTAGGCTTTACCCTGTGTGGTGGTCCCTTGCGTGAACTCGTGACCTGCGTAACCGTCACCTGGTGACCTCGGCGTGGTGGCCCGGTACCTTACCCCGTGACCTCGGTATGGTGGTTGGGATCGTGACCTCGGTGCGGTGGCCCGGCACCTTACCCCATGACTTCGGTGTGGTCGCCCGGTACCTATCCCGTGACCTTGGTGTGGTGGTTGGGTCCGTGACCTGGTGACCCGCCTTCAGTCGGGAGACGGCGGCGGCCCCAGCCGGCCCGTCATCCGCGTCGCCGCCATCGACAACGGCCTGGCGTTCCCGTTCAAGCACCCGGACTCGTGGCGTGCCTACCCGTACCACTGGGCGTGGCTCTCCTGGGCCAAGCGGCCCTTCTCCACGCAGACGCGCGACCACGTGTTGCCGCTCATCTCGGACATGAACTTCGTGCAGGACCTGTGCGACCAGCTGTATCGGCTGTTGAAGGTCAGTAGGCGGAGGAGGAGGAGGGGGGGGGGGGGGGGGGGCGGTCGGCTGCGCTCCGCCCGGCCTGGGGCGGGCCCGCCCGGCTGCCAATCCAATCAGGCCGGGGTTGATAGTGACCCCGGTCAAGGCCGGAGCACCGGGCTGCGGTTGCACATGTCTTTCGTTTGTTTGTGGCTATTGAGCCGCAGTCGAGCCACTTTCGATTTCGCGTGTCTGCGGCGCCACCCGTGCCATGGGTGCTATAGCGTTCGGGCTAAAAAGCGCTTTCGGTCCAGTTGCTGGAGCAAGCGTTCCTTTGTGAGCGTAAGCTCCGCCTCCATCTTATTGTTATTGATTCGCGGTATGGATAAGGGGCCCAGGATCATAGCCTTACCTGCCACGTCACTTGGGTGCACCGGATGCGAAATCGATGGGTGGTCCGTCGTTGATCCGTTCGAGCTAATCAGCCGCTGGGGACAGCTGGGACCGGCGCCGGTCTGGGGGGGGGGGGGGAGGAGGGTTGAGGGGATCGTGCGCCGTCGTCAGCCGCCGCCGACACTGAGCCTGTCGTGACGGCGGAGCGCGCCGCCGGCTGGCGCTCCCCGCCCCGCCGCCGCCGCCTCCGCCGGCCGGCTCGCGCCAGATCGCTCCGCACCGCGCCGGGCCCGTCACGAGCTGGGTGACGTCACCGGGCCGATGCGGCCCGCTGCGTCGCCTGCTCGGCGGAGGGCTGGCGCCGCCGAGCCGAGCCGAGCCGAGCCGAGCCCGGCCGGCCTGGTTTTGAGTGTGGGGCACGGACGGCTCGCCCGGCGCCGGCAGCGCGTCCGTGTGGCCATGACAGTGCCAGGGCGTGACTCACGAGTCACGCGCCGTCGGGTGGGAATGTCCGATGTGTGTGACGCGCGTGCCGCGGTGACACGGGTGTGTGGAGCGCGTGGCTCGTTGGCGCATTAGCCCTCTGTGTTGATTGCCAACAAATCAGTCGGGTGGTCTTGACCAGACGTGTTCTGGTCTGGCGTTACGGGACCGGCAGGCACCGGTATTATCTGACCCAGTCTGGACCAGACGGGACTAAACCGAAGCGGATTGGGCTTGACCTGACCTAACCTGATCTGGTCCGACCGGAAATGACCGTTGTTGGGTACGGAAGATAGCCAAAAAGTTTTGAAGGCTGATTGATTGTGTGTGGCTTGGTGTCTTTTTTGTGGCGTCGTTAGTTGTGAGTCCAAGCGACGGTCTTTTAGCATCTAGATTGTAACAGTCCTTTGGGATGATCCATCCTTTGGGAAGGATCAATCGATATACCGTAATTTGAGCTTATAGATAAGCCAGTAGTAATAGGCTTATTCCTCGTAGAAAAACCGGGACAATGGAGAAATAGATGCGCTGATATTTGGCAACATGCCTTTACCGAAACGAATGACAGCAGTAAATTTAAAATTGCGTCCCGATCCTACTCCATTTTTCAGTTTTTCTTTCCTTTTTACGGCCAGCCAGTTTTTACGGGTCACCAAAATTGGGGTGGGGAGATAAAACAAGGAGGCATCGCCAGCCATTACTATGTTACAGTGCATATCTAACTGAGAAGTCGAATGTGCAAAAATGTCTATCATTTGCAAACATGGAAACAAATTCAAGTGAACAGGCATTGCGCATCACGCTTCATTTAAACACAAGCGATTCCAAGTGAACAGGCATCACGTGTCACGCGTCAATTATACATGCAAACGATTTCAATTAGATAGATACCGCGCACCACGCGTCAGGCACCACTCATGCATGTGAACGATTTTAAGCAAGCACGCATCACACAGCAAGGCACTTACCACATTCGCATAGTCGGCCCTGATCCGGCCGAGTTATCTACAGAGAACAGGACCATCCAGACAAGAAAATGAATGCAAAGTGGAAATGAGAGAGTTCAATCCCCTTTTGCCTGTTTGAAGAGGATTCTTCTCATTCAGCACCGTGTGATTAACAGAAAATATCGCAAAAAGTGGAAGAACCGTGGCGTCCCGCCCCTTTCAATGAGCTTGCGCCCACGGTCTCTCCATACCTTCGTATATTTCCACGCGTATGTATCACAGCATATCGACCTATTTTCTTGTATTCACTTAGCTTGAACCCCGCCCCCTCCCCCATGATGCATCGTAAACTATTGAGCAGAAGGCTATCAGCTTGATCTGCCATATAGGTGCGTGACCCAAGTTAGCTCCCATTGGATGGCCCCCAGATGGAAGATGTTCAAGTGGTGACACATATCACCTACGACGGATAGCCATTGATGTTGGGCGGTGTTGCGTAGTTTTCGTCTAGTGACTTTGTGCGGTTCCGAAAGCCATGCGGTCTGTTTCGGTGGGTTTGCGTGGCGGGCTGTTGGACAACGCAGTGTGCGGTGTGGCGCTGCGTCGGGCGATGTGCCGACCTCCTGTGTGCAGCGGCTCTCTAGTGACGGCAGACACGCTCTCGTGTGTGCAGCGGTTCTTTGGTAATGGGAGATACGCTCTCCTGTGTGCGGCGGCTCTCTAGTGACGGCAGGCACGCTCTCTTGTGTGCAGCGGCTCTCTAGTGACGGCAGACACACCCTCCTGTGTGCAGCGGCTCTCTGGTGACGGCAGACACACCCTCCTGTATGCAGCGGATCTCTAGTGACGGGAGACACGCCCTCCTGTGTGCAGCGGTTCTTCGGTAATGGGAGACACGCCCTTCTGTGTGCAGTGGTTCTCTAGTAACAGGACACGCCCTCCTGTGTGCAGCGGCTCTTTAGTAACGGGAGACACGCCTTCGTGTGTGCAGCGGCTCTCTAGTGACGGCAGACACGCTCTCCTGTGTGCAGCGGCTCGCTAGTGATGGCAGACGCGCCCTCCTTTGTGCAGCGGCTCTTGAGTGACGAGAGACACGCCCTCCTGTGTGCAGCGGCTCTAGTGACGGGAGACACGCCCTCCTGTGTGCAGCGGTTCTTCGGTAATGGGAGACACGCCCTTCTGTGTGCAGTGGTTCTCTAGTAACGGGAGACACGCCCTCCTGTGTGCAGAGGCTCTCGAGTGACGGGAGACACGCCCTTCTGTGTGCAGCGGCTGCCGAGTAATGAGAGACAGGCCCTCCTGTGTGCAGCGGTTCTTCGGTAATGGGGGACACGCCCTTCTATGTACAGTGGTTGCGTAGTAACGGGAGACACACCCTCCTGTGTGCAGCGGCTCTCTAGTGACGGGAGAGACGCCCTCCTGTGTGCAGCGGCTCTCTAGTGACGGGAGACACGCCCTCCTGTGTGCAGCGGTTCTTCGGTAATGGGAGACACCCTTCTGTGTGCAGTGGCTCTCTAGTGACGGCAGACACGCCCTCCTGTGTGCGGTGACTCTATAGTGACGGGAGACACGCCTTCCTATGCGCAACAGCTCCTCAGTAACGGGAAACACACCTCCTTTCCGCCGGCGGCTGACCTGACCGCAGCGGTAGGACGCCATCGACTGGTGGGAGCGAGCAAGCCGCTACAGTCCTGTTGTGTCCAAGTTGATCAGGTGTTATGAAATCCGCCCACGGTGGTTTTTCTTGCTTGCAGCGGTGTGTGGCTTTATGTTGACAAAACATGTCAAGCAGCAAGAAGGCATGTGTACCAGGTCCGCCTCGACTTCGGTCTGGGCTCCGCGAAGACGTGGTTTTCTTCCAAAGACTTTGGCTTCTAGGCATTCTTCGCAGTGACTGTGATTTGGGTTAGCGTCATCCTCGGCCATGGCTTCGCGCCATTGAGCGGTTGGCTTTGTTAGCGAACATTTGTGTTATATGTTATGGCTTCGTCTTCGGCTTAATCTGATCTTGAACTGCTGGCTTTGGTTATGTCATGGTGATTTGTTTTCATTGCAGCTGTTACCTTCTTTCAAACAGTCCTCCTATCCCTGTGACCTCAATATACCACACATGTTTTCGACGCCACGAAGAATGCATGGATTAGAACTGACGACAGCTGGAGAATGAACTGTCCGGAACGATTTGTACCCAATGGTGCGCAAGACCAGGACGGCAGTCCAGTAAAAAATCATCCGTATTGTCGACACCTCGTCTCAGTCGCTCCGCAAAACCCTCAGTGTATGCTCCGGTCCCATGCAGTTTTGCGACAGGGAATATCGTTTGGATTGGGCAAAACAACGCTGCCCTCTAGGGTCAGACTCAGCTTCGGTCTCGTGACATTACTTACGCTGATGGGTTTGGCTTTAGCTTTGCGTTTCCTAAGTTCGAAGCCGCTGACTTCGGCTCCGGCCACGTGTTTACAGTTAGAATTATGAGAAAAGTTAGAACTATGGCCTCTGTTTCAAAGCCAAAAGCTTGGCTTCGCCCCATACCTGAAATCAAGCACACAGCTGCGTATATCGGTATTGAGTGGTCTGCGGATATGCATGAACCACCATGCCGCGCGTGATGGACCACGTAGCCGGTGAAGGACATAATAAGCGGGCGGACGGGAACAATGACCCCAATTTAAAGGCGTAAAACGTGTAAGTGGTAGCGCGGGTCACGTGCATGCGAAATGGGTTATTCGTTTATCAGCGATCACTGCTTAGCCCACAGGGTAATTGCCATTCATGATGACAGGGCTGGTGTAGGCTGTATTGCCTGTTACCCGCGTCCCCCGCGTATGTACCAAGTATGTACAAACAAAACAAAAAAATTGTCGGCAAAAAATAATGCCCTGTTCTGTGGAATATTGCTCCGCGTCTCTGATATTGTGTCCTAATGTTCCGTGGGAATAGGTTGTGATGAATACTCTATGCACGGATAGTAATAGCGTTCTGGCTTTTTTGCATGGATATCGAACCGACATCCCATTTATCCCTCCCTTACCTTTCCCAGATGGCCTTCTCATTGACATCGCCATGCGTTATGTGGTCCGGGACTTCGCTGTTGATGTGTGACGGTCCACCAAATAGCATGTCGAAATCGCCTGCCGCCCTCCGCCAGACGGACAAGGGGTTCGACAAGAACCTGTTCGAGCACCAGATGTCGGTGATGCGCGGCCAGATGCTGAACCTGGCGCAGGCCCTGAAGGACGGCAAGAGTCCCGTCCAGCTGGTCCAGATGCCGGTGGTGGTGGTGGAGAGGTGAGTCCGCTGACGAGTCGTGGGGCCGGACCCGTCCCGGCTCGGTCCGCCGCACTCTCCCTGCCCGCGGCGGCCGGGGCAGACAGGTGCTGGCGGCGGGAGGGCTGACGTTCGAGGGGGAAGGACGGCTACGAAAGCCACGTCTGAAGTCTCAGTGACGTGGGGACTTGGCTTTGGCCGAGCACTGGGTGTCGTCCCTTGCATTAGGCCCAAACCCTGGGTTCGATGTCCGACCGATGCTTACGCGCCAGCCAACGGCTTATGAAGAGCGCATGCCGTCTGGACATGATGGACGATGGAGCTGGGACGAGACAAATCGTTCTTGGATGGCTGGGTGTCTTGTCACATTCGGGATTGCCGGTACACTAATATTAGATGGTATTCGGACACGCCACGTACCAGAATTAGTCCTCTCTAACGCCGCCATTGACAGGGCCCAGGCCCCGCGTTATCAGCATGCATTGCGCCCTTGCGTAAATCGCCGTGAGACAGCGCCACGTGCTCGGTATGGACGTTGGGCACGGTGTGTGTGTTTTTCGGAATGATTACGGGTGTCATATCACGATGCGTTGGCCTCGCTGGTACAGGATCGAGTTGGCCACAGCTCCCAAACGTCGGTAATAATGCTGGCATGCTAGCTGCGCCTATTCAGTCGGCAAGAACGAACGCGGTACATGAAAGTCAGATGTAATCCCAGATATTCAGGCATCGAAAGCCTTCGCAGCCCTTTCCCTCATATCTGGGAATCGGACGTCTTCAGATGTCTCAGTATTTCACCGATTGACAGGCACAAAGCTTCATCCTTAAGGCTATCACTAACTACCACCGCGGAAAATCTTACTTGTCGCAGCTTCTCGGATAGTTGCCTGGAGAACGGTGCTGCAGAGAAATGTTGGTAATTGGCAGGGGTTGGTAGAATAGCTGACGAAGTACATGACACGGTGGACACGCGAGTGCTTCTTCATTATGACAGTTGGTCGTGGTCTGTTCAGATAGGGCCGAGCTTCCTGACCCGGTGGATGGGGTGTAATGTAGGGGCTCGCTCTCGACAGCGGGACTGTGGGGGCTGTGTACAGGCTAGGCATCGACGGATGTGCAGCTGTGGTGTGTATTTGTCTGATGTCATACGGAGGCCTCGTTGGCGTACGACAGACGTTGCTTCAGACCACGGCATACGCACGGTCTGCTGCTTGTTCTGTAAGGTCAGCACCATGGCACATGTGTTGCATGGGATATCAGATATGTCAGATCGAGGCTGTCCTGAACACCGCGCGTTCCCGACCGCGAATAATTTTTGATTACAAGGGTCAATTGTTTATAAGGGGTATGTCTTCCTGTCAGGTGCCAGTGCGTTCACTCAAGACGTCATGTATGTATTTCATGTATTTCATGTATTTCATGCATGAAAGTCGCACACATGAAAGATACATATTTGTATCGCTCACTCAGGGAAGCGATTGAAACTCGGTTTGAGTGCCGAGCACGGCACATGAAACGGCTTCGAATTTCCGTCCCCGTAGCTGTGCGAATTCCGCTAACATTGCACTTTGTTTACAGCCGTTTTCATTTCGCTGCTGGAACAAATGATGATTGTTTTTGTTCGCAAGTAGTTTTCATCGTTTGGTATTGCATTTGCTGACGGTGCGACGTGCCGGCGACAATGGGTGATGGTCACGCACGTTCAGCGGAAGCACAGGGCCGTTTGGCGTGATGGGTGACTACTGGCGCTTCGTCGGACTTTTACTGAGAAGGACACGCGCGCTCGCGTGTCACTAGAGGTCACCCTCCTGTGGCGGCGCTGCGTTAGAGGCAGCCTTAATGATCCCTGGCTGGTATCATGTGCTGCACTTCACCGGCTGGACTGGAATGCTACATGGTGTGGATCCAGCTCCGCAAATTGGGGCTCCAAGTTAGCAAGTACTGTGGCCGTTACCCGAAAATAAGTCCTAGAAATAAGTTATCTGATCTCTAGATTAAGCATAGCTTTAGAACAACGCGTTTGTTGTGGTCCAATCTCCAAATCTGGTGACAACTGCTGGAAAACCTGAACCTGAAGATAGGCTGTTTTCGCCTTTTGGGAGGGGGGGGGGGGGGGAGCGGGACAGCCTCGTGGTCTCCACCGCTTGGATTCGCCAGCGCTGTAACGCCGATCGTGTGCTGGTGACTTTCAAGCGGGAGCACTGTGTTGCGCGGCTCAGCGCTCTGGTCAGAGATGTACTTAACGTTAGACGGGTGAGATATGACCTAATGGAGCGCCGGACCGGCGTGATGTTTTGCCACGTGCCCTCAAGCTGAGATGACGACGCTACAGTAGGGTGGTCGTATCGATGTTTTCAGTTCGTCGTTTGCGGCGTTTGCCTAAGTGAATTTGCCTAAGAAATGTGGACTTCACTTGTTTTCACAGAGGCATATCAGTCTTCACCAGCTACCTAAGCAGTGCCGAAAGTTATTCTCGCTTTAAGAGGACGCGTAGCTCATGAACCCCCAATAACTCCAGCAACGTTTGTAGCAGCAAAGCTGTATTGACTGCGTCGCTTGTTGTCGGGATGGAAGACGGGAACGATTGATTGGCGCGTCCTCCCGGCTTTGTGCTGCCGACATCGCCGACATCCGACATCTATGTCGACGTTTCCGTGCCGCTGAGCGCCGACATCTGACGTGCACGCGGCGCAGCCCACCAGCTGCTCGCCTTGACGCTCCCGCCCCGTTCTGTTGCAGGGCGAAGGGCGGTCACAGCGAGACCCGCTTCCGCTCCATCAGCGACACATTCACGCAGCGGTTCCAGCACAAGTCGCCCTTCTTCTCGTGGTGCTAGTCGGCCAGTGCGGCCCGCTGGGTCGGGCCCGGCCGTGCGCAGCGCTGGTTCTGGGGCGGCGCACGCTCGCCGGCACCGACAGATTGTCGGCGGCCCCCTCCCGCCGGATGAGCTGCTGGCCCATGCGAGCCGGGCCCGGCCCAACCGGGCGCCGGCGGCCGGGGCTGGCCGCTCCAGCAGGCGTCTCCCATACCCCGCCCGGCGGCCCGGTGTGCCGCGGCGCGGTAGCCTTCGGCAGACACGCGGAGCGGCGGCGGCGGCTCCTCCAGCGGCGGCTGGGCGCGCGCCTCGCCCGCAGCGGCGCGCGTGCTGGCTGCAGCGCGCTTCCGTCGGCCCGTGGTGCGATGCCTGAGTAGGTGACAGCTGACTGGTGGGGGCCGCGGCATGCCACCGTCTGTCGGGCGGTCACGCTGCCCTCAGACGGCGAGGTGGACTGTTCGGACGTGGCCAGGCGACGGAGTGAGGGGGGGGGGGGGGGGAGGAGGGATATGCCGGTGGCCGCTCTGGTGCCGTGCGGGATGGGCAGACAGTATATTCTTTGCATGTGATTTGTTGTGTGCCCCACCGTCGGGAGGAGGAGACGGTCTGTACGAAATCGATCACCTTGACTTGGTTGGCACCGTCGATTCTTAGTTGCGCCTCTCGTTCAGGCTAGTCAGCTCTCTGCTCACCGCTGCCTTCGCATGTGTGATGCACCGAACTTATATGTGTGATTAATCAACGCCACCGTCGATTGCTTACGTCGCGTGTGAGCGCCGACCTTCCGGACATGCAGCCGTCGCGCATGGTGTGTGCTGACATCCAGCGCGGCGCGAAGTGGCGGCGTGTACCGCGCTGTATGGTCGCATCGGGGCTGGGTATAGGGACGCGCTATTTTCATATCTACCCGTACTGAGGTAAGTAGGCGGGCGGTGACGTATCGCGTGACGTCACGGCGCCGGGGTGATTTAGCGCCAGCTGACCGGTAACGAGAGCGACGCTTGTGATTCGGTGGCGGGTGAGGTGTGGCGACGGGGCGGCCGGCTCGCGGTTCGGCGCCCCTGTGGTCCGAGCGGACCTGCTGTTCTCGGCGCGCCGCTGCCTCGCGCTGCATAACCTAGTCAGACGAAATACTACGGCCTGGCAGCCCTGACCACGTGTGGCGCCCACACGGGGCTCGGCCCTTCGGCTTTCTTTCGAGTCTGGTCCTAAGCGATCGTTCGCTTCGTGTTGCCTAGCCGTGTGCGCGCCGACTCGCGAATATATCGGTACCGAGTGTGAGTGCGTCGGTTAAAGACAGCTGATTTATGATCCAGTTGTGCCCTTCGTTTCCATTGTGGTGTTTACTGCAGGTCGTCCCGGGTGGCTCGTGCGCGGCGCGGGCATGACGTCCCTGCTGAGAAAGCTCTACCTGTATCTGTCTGATATTCCATCATGAGCGCGGGTGTGATTGGCCAATATATCGGAGTTCACGCTGGAGCATGTCTGCTATACTGGCCAGCGCTGTGGCCCACTGCGCGCTGTCGGCTCCTGCTATGTCTGGGTCATCTCGCACTGCCCCGCGCGGGCTTGGTGCGTGCCGACAACAAACTGAGCGCCTAGAACATTGTGCGGCATTTAAGGCGGCTACACGAGGCCTAGACACCACCAAGGGAGTTCTTCGCAGCATTTTCCCCTACTCTTTTGGATGGATGCTGGTTAATCTATTGCTTGACTTTCTTTTCTTCGTATGCCCTGTGGGCCGCCGCTGACAGCTGCCCGGTAGAGTCAGCATGCTCACCACCTCGTGATGCCAGTAGCGGAAGCAGGGGGGGGGGGGGGCTCAGGAGCACATACCCTCGCTTTAGGCTCCGAGGGGCCCTTCGGGACTTTCGGGACCAACTATTAAGGGCCCGAAGGGCCGAAAGCTCTGCCACAAGTCGTATTCAGGGACTCGGCCCGCAGGTCCAACACTCTGATGCTAGCCAGAGGTCCCTGCGCGCTGATCATGGGTCCCCTGAGTCGATAAGGGCCTAATGTCGGTCCGACACTGCCAGTATTGTACAGTCGGCTCCGCGGCGGCATGGGCCTGAGGGTCCATGCATCAACCAGCGACAAAGCGAGAGCCAGCGGTTTACATTGGTCGGGACTTCAACGTCTACTAGGGCCCCACAACGCCTGTGGGGTCCTGTGCTGCTACGGGGTCCCGAGTCGGCCGGAGGAAGTGTTCGAGGAGGCCCGAAGAGCCTGAGGCCCACCGGGTCCGACGATGAAGGGCCCCATTGGAGGGTCTCAGGGCATGAAGGGCTGGTCGGATGCTTATTCCCAGGCCCCGGTCTGCGGGACTGGCCCTCAAATGATAGTCAGAGGGCCCTTTGCGCTTATTGGGGACCCCCTGAGTCGATGTGGATCTATTTGGGTCAGTCAGACACCATCAGTGCCGCCCAGTCGGCTCCGTGTCGGTATGGATCTGAGGGCCCAATTCCCAATCAGCTGCTAAGCCGGGGCCAGCTTTTTACGCTGGTCGGGCCCCTGTAGCTGTCAGGGGCCCATAGCGCCTAATAGAGAGTCCCGTGTTCGCAAGGGGCGCGGGCCAACCAAAGGCAGTATTTGATAAAACTCGAAGAACGGCCATTTCTCAAGCAGGGACAAGTCCGGGCCGCGATTAACATAGGTCGGAGCCCTTGCAACAACGTGGGGCTCCTGTATCGGTCAGGGACCCACGGCGCCTGACAGGGCGTTCTGTGTCAACAAAGGGCCACGAGTCGGGTCAGGGAAATATTTGCTCAACAGGAACGAGGACGGGACCCCAAATGGCAGAGGGCCTCTTACGTTGGTTGACACCATCTCACAATGAAAGAAAATCTGAGAAATTACGATGAGCGTCCACATTGAGACAATGGAAGGGTTGTGTCAGCCAAGGCCCCCAATGCCAAACGGTGAGGCCGCCAACCCATTTCCAGCACTGGAGTCCAGTTGACAATTATTGGACATCCTGCGGCCATCAGGGATGTTTTTGCGTCAATGAGGATTCCTGCGTCGATTTGGGACCAACTGCGCGGGCCAGAGGTCCTTCCGCGTCGGGGAGCGAAACAATGTGGTTATGATGTATCCCTCTAAGGGCCTCCGGATCGACCAGGGGATTCTGCGTTGTGTCCCCAGAATGGCAGCCGGAAGGCACCACGCTGTTTGACCAAGCTTCAGCGCTTTACCGGGGACATTAATGTGCCCTCTAGTGTTCTACTCAAGTGGGCCCCATGCCCGGAAAGAAAAAAGGAATCTTATTAGCGTTGAATAGAGTAGGTTGAAGTGAGTTAACGAACAAGGCCATCCCATGCTTACCAGAGAACGTTCTCTCCTTTACAGAATCGACTCGTGAAACAAATGACGTCGAAAGGTTTTAGCTTGCGCGCCGGGAATCTCGGAAGCAAGGACAGCGATGGCCTAGGTTCAGTTCCCGTAAAATCGATTGGCGTCGGCCACTACAAGTGACACCAGGCGGCGGGTGCCGTGTGCGCGAGAACGACCGTTGTTAAATTATCGCTACGAAAGTCTTTTAAAATCAGGGTTAGACTGGGTGTATATTTGTTGCAATTTTGAGGTTGTCCTCTGCATAGGTTAACAGTTCACAGTTACAGCAATACGAAAAATATATGTTTACCTTTACTCTTCCAGTTCCACCGCCGGATTCCAGCACCACCTCACGGAGTTGTAAAGGCCAGTTCGTTCTTATTAATATAAAATTTGCATAGGTAAAGGATATGCCCGGACCATCTTCTAATTCTAAGATTTAATGTTCCAAGGCGCTCAAAGATGCTTCCTTCAGAAGCGTCATCATTTTCGTCCGTCCGTTGTCTGCGGCTCAGCATGAGCCGCGTGGCCGACGCTGCGACGTATATGAAGACTGGAACGCTTGGCGTCGAGGTTTGTGTTGCCAAGATTTGCGACCGTGTTTGTTCAAACCAACCATACATAATGTGTGTTGCTAATCGATGCTGGCTGAATGTTGGACATTTCCAGGCAAGCATGGCTTGGCCGTGTAACCACAAATTGCTGACCCATTTCGATCTACAAACTGCATTCGCGTGGTATTTAATGTGTCAATAGAACCAAGATAAAACATCTGACAAAGTTTCTGAGTTCTATCGGATTAGAATGAGTCCACTGGCCATTGTAAGATAAAGAGCGCCGCTGATTCATTTCATGCGGTCGTTTAAAGCAGTTATGTTTAAGCAGTTATGCTTGAAGCATTTATGCAGTTTAAGGACTGTGAAATTCTGGCAGAATTGATCTTGCAGTAGCTTCTTGCTTTTACTCCAGTTATAAAACGTACAAATAGCAAACATATCAAAGAAAAGCATACTCTTATTATGAAATGGGCCATATCCGGCGATGTTTGGGGCCCTTTGTCCACCCTGTGCCCCCACCCCTGCCAAGGCTCTGGTTGCGCACCTGCGTGATGGGCGCGCCCGATGTCACCTCACGAACTCACACTTCCGCCACATGACAACAGCTGTTTCAACATATCGTGATCGTGTATTGACCGACACCGCTGCCCGCCCGTAGCGCACCGCTCCGCTCCCGCTCACGCCGCGGACGGGGGCACGACACGCGCCGCGTCGCTCTCTCACCGGACGGGCTGTTCGCACGGTCCATCGACTCGCGCTGCCGATGCGTCCGTCGTGTGCTGCGATCCGCTGCCTGTGAACTGCAGGCTAGCCTAGGGGTCGGTGGTCATTTGTGAGTCTAGATCTGAGATGTTCACGGCGTACGTGTTCGTCAGATCTGTGGTGGAGCAGAGTCTCGTGTCCCTTTGTAGTGTGTGTGTACGTGAGTGTGTATAGGGTCGCCAGCATTGTCCTGTGGCAGTTGTCCTTTGTGAACTAACTGTGTGGTCCAGGTCGCCGCTGTGAACTTTGCTGGCTCTGTGAGCCGGCAGGTGCCATTGCATTGTCCCGGACGACTCCTATGCGGGTCTTCCGGGGCGGCCGCCGCGCAATGGGTCCCATCGGCTTCATTGTTGGCTTCATTGTATTACATTTAGAGATATTTTAGTGTAAAATGAATTTCTCCAGCAGGCGGAAAGAAGCTCCTAGCATTTGCCCTTATTACTGTAGGTGGCGATACGTATGTGCAGTCACTGGTCTCTGTGCAAAACTCCGTGGAGTTTTTAGCAGCTTGTGACACAGACCTTTAATAGATGTGTTGTACTTTAATAGATGTGTTTTCAAAGCGTTTAAATGCGAGTGTGTGGATCAGGTGACGCGTTTTTGCAAACTTGCAATATCGCACTTGACCTCTTCACGTCAACACAGGAACTGAGCAATTTTTATATCGCAAAAAAGAGATGGAGAACGCGGACCGGGAACAAGCCCAGACTTCGGTTGCCAAGCGTCGCAGCAAGGCCTTATGCCGACGGAGGAGAAGGCGGGCGATCGTACCGGTCAAACTGAAGGTTGGCGTCTGCAGGCTATCACGCGGTCTCACGTGCCAACCGTAGACCTGTCCGTTCTGGAGACTTTAAGGACTGATGTCAGCTTACAGGAGACAGAGCAGACGAAGACCTGAAACTGAGTGCACAGTGTGCGTGACGGTACGTGCCGTAACTCACTGACGGACTTCTACACCATCCGACCAATGGGCACACCGGCAAACGACCGAAAAACAGACAGTGCCACCTTTTGCAAAGACGATCCCAGCTACAAAACGCCGCAGCCCGAGTCAAGATAGTCTGGGCCACACAAACTACACAGGATTGTTATGCTGTGCAATTTGATAAATATTCTTTCAAAATATATGTGCGTTTTGCACTACGTTGGTCACTATTGACAGAACTGTGAATTGTCGTTAATCGTCAATAGTGTCAGCTAAAAACGACTGACCTGACCGTGTCCGTGGCCAGATCGGCCTGAATTGCCAGGCAACGTTGCTAGTGAATTTCGGGTATTTTAACAGTGGCGCAGTTTGGCGTAATAAACTCGACAGAGGGGGACACTTCAGTGCATTTTACAAATCAAATTCGTATGTGCTATGAGAGGGGGCGTTCGGTATCACTCGCACCTTATTTCGCGCCTTATTATTATCGCACCCTGCACCATATTCGCACCTTTGGTATCAATTACACAATGATAAAAGTTCACAAGTAAAGGTTTCGCTCGTCCTACGGTACAAAAGAAAGCCTTGCGAGTGCATATTGCCTCCCCAGTCATCTATGACAGACATCCAAAAACGCTGATTTTGCTCCCCTCACAACCTGCACCGCTCGTATTGTGCACGACACACTTTTGGACTGCGTGACATTGTCATATGAATTGGGTCTTTAATACTGTGTTTGGTTTGTGCATACGTCCACGATGCAAATGCATACGCGGTACTTTACAGATACCCGATTCAGTGGACTGATAGAGCCTATTCGTGGTCACCTGGACTGGCGCGCAGGTGCTTGATTTGAAGAGCATAAGTTGGTCACAAAGACATGGCGTGAGAAGATGAGCCGTTCATCGCTATCCATTGACGCATTTAAAGCATGGCAGATGGGAGGGTGAATGTTATGTGCAGAGTAATTTCGAAACAAATCTGACCCATGCTGTGTTAGTAATTAATTAGTGCAGTTCTATGGGCCGGCTGCCGCCAGTGAACTCCCCTAATGGTGTGGACCGGCCGCTGTCCGTGAGCTGTCCTGGTTCTGTAGACCTACTACTGTCCGTGTTATGGTCTGGATCTGAGGATTGGCTGCTGTCCGTGTTATGCTCTGGTCCTGTGGACCGGCTGCTGTCCGTGTTATGGTCTGGATCTGAGGACCGGCTGCTGTCCGTGTTACGCCCTGGTTCTGTGGATCAGCTGCTGTCCGTGTTATGCCCTGATTCTGTAAACCGGCTGCTGTCCGTGTTATGCTCTGGTTCTGTGGATCGGCTGCTCTCTGTGAGCTGGCGGGGCTCTGCGGTGCGAGCTCCAGCGGCGTCCGGCGGCGCCGGCGGCAGCGGCACACGGCCAGCTCCAGCGCCAGCGCCAGCAGCCCGGCCGCGTGGCCGGCCGTCAGCACGATGAACGCCCCCTGCACGTGGTACACAGACAGCGCCACGAAGCGGGGCCGGGCGCTGCCGGCGTCGGCGCCGGCGCCCCTGGTCTGCTCCCTGCGCCGGCGCGCCACCGTATCCAGCTCCCATTTGCGGATCAGACCGGCCTCGGTCAGTCGCTGCATCACCGCGTCGAACTTGTGCACGAACGGCGCCTTCGGCCGGAAGCCCCAGGCGAAGTTCTGTCGGCGGACGGTGGGGCGGATTTTGACCGGGGAATGCCCTCCGATCGCCGCAGGCATCACGGACGATTGGTTTGGTGATGTCACCGGCATTCAGCTGCACCAAGGGTAGTAATGACGCGCCGCACCGCCCCATTTTGCAGCCCGTGGCTAGCGCGATAGCCAAAGTCACAGAGGGGTGAGAACACGAATACCGCATCGCCGTTACAAACATCACCGAGCAGTACAACACACACATACATTACCCGTTGGCTCTAGAGCGTCCTGCGTGGCAGTTTAGAGATGTGTCAAGCAGTATGGTGCTTGGCAGCAGAGGCTTCTCCCAACCAGACAAGCCATCGGAAACGAGAATGACTCGAATGATGTTGAAAACATTCGGAGCATTCATGTTACCATCAATGTTTTCCGCGACATTTCAAATGTTTACAAACATTTCCCGCAGAATGAAAACGATGAAAAATCATCACGAACATGATGATCTGTTTTAAAGAACACACAAGATCGGCGTCAGTGCCCCAGTTTTACAGTGTGCTTGAGTGCATGCGAATAACGCCCATCTCACCTCGGGCGAGAAGGCCTCCTTGGCCATATGGACCAGCGGTCGGCCGCTGCTGTCCGAGTACCGTTCCGCTATGAACGCCTGCAGGTTCGACCTCCACGAAATGAAGGCGTACCGCTCGGTCAGTAGCTTGACGAACGAGTCCTCGATGTTGTGGTACTGCATGGAGGCGAACAGCCGCTGCGGGAGCGCAGGGCGCCGCGTCAGACCAGCGTCAGACTGGCGCTGGCGAGGTCAGACCAGCGTCAGACCAGCGTTAGCGAGGTCAGACCAGCATTAGACCAGCGCTAGCGAGGTCAGACCAGCGTCAGACCAGCGTTAGCGAGGTCAGACCAGCGTCAGACCAGCGCTAGCGAGGTCAGACCAGCGTCAGACCAGCGTTAGCGAGGTCAGACCAAACCAGTCATGTCGCCTCCGGTAACACGCCCCCGGTTCGAAATTAAGGCAACACGCTTCATGGACTGTACTGTGGCCTTCATATGACATAGCAGATAGGTACGTCATGATTTTTTTCTCAGCAGTTGCGCCGAGCAGGCGGAGATGACTGCATAACTTTGGTCGTTAAATCGCTCCTTTTAATGCTGTGCAGTTTTCCTCCATGGCGCCTGTTTTAGCCATTCCGTCGCCGTAAGCTGTTCAGTGCATTTGCGACGAACATTATGGACGAACGTCATGGATAAAACATTAGTAATAGCCTTACTCCTCGGATAAAACCGGGAGAATGGAGATATAGATGAGTCGATGTTGCGGCAATGTGCCTTTATCGAAACAATAGCAGGAGTTTCACTTCTGCTATTTATCGAAATAATAGTAGATGGCTCACTTCAGCTATTGTTTCGATCAAGGCATGTTGCCGAAATATCAACCCAACTATATCTCCAGTCTGCTGGTTTTTTTCCGAGGATAAGGCTATTACTACTGTCTTATCCATTCCGTTTTCATGTCCCTAGCAGCTTACGTAGATAAGAATTTGCGGGTAGGATGTCGATCATTCGTGAAGCTCTTGCACCTGGTCATTACACTTCACGCACGTGTGTCATAGTCGCTCTCTGTCCCCTCCAAACGTTCACTCACGCACGTGCACCTAATCACAAGCAAATGCGCCATCGCCGCGCGCTAGCGATGCGCACCCCCCACAGTCCACCTGACGGGCACAGCAAATAACCTTCGCAGGCGTCATGTTATGCACCGAGGCCTTGCGTGACGCCCCAGCGCCGGTGTAAGTCACACGGCCGCCCTCGCGGGGGTTGATGATATCACGCGTGAGCCGGCCCGGCGGGCCCTGGGGCCGGCTCCAGTGACACGCCACCAGAGCCGGAAGCCGGCGGCGAAGCAGGAGGAGGGGCGTGGACCGCCCGCCGGTCCGGTCCGTGCCGTGTAATGTCAGGCTCACTCCACTCGGAGCCACGTGTCTCTGAGTGTTCAGCGGAGTCCCAGACGAGGGGTGTGGACCGCCCGCCGGTCCGGTCCGTGCCGGATGACGTCAGGCTCACTCCACTCGGAGCCACGTGTCTCTGAGCGCTCAGTGGAGTGCCCACTGCCCAGTGCGTGGAGTGCCAGACACCGCTCGGCGGTCCGGTCTGTGCAGGGTGACACCAGGCTCCCCCACCCCCAATCTGTGCCGGGTGTCTCTGAGTGTTCAGTGGAGTGCCAGATGAGGGGCGTGGACCGCCCACCGGTCCGGTCCGTGCAGGGTGACGCCGGGCTCCCCCCACCCCCCCAACCCCACCTCCACTCTGAGCCGGGCGTCTCTGAGCGTTCGGTGGGAGTTCCCACCGCTCAGCACAGCCGTCACGCCGCCTTCTCCGCGTATCGAGCTTTAGGCCGTTAAGGCGGATGGGGGAGGGTTGACTAATGCAGATGACCACTGGGGGAGGTGACAACACGTAATGCAGATGACCACTGGGGGAGGTGACAACACGTAACGCCTGTCTTACACCAACGTCACTGAGGCCTACTGTGCGTCCGCCAGAGGCTCAGTGCACGCTACTCTCACGCTTATGTGTGACAATGTTCAGATGACGTGAAAGGTTGAGCACGAATGAACATTTTCAAACAAAAGAACGTCGGTTCCAAGGAAATGACTATCTGCGCAGACAAGGCGGGAATCAGGACGTGGTTTGCACACATGATACACGACACCGCTTGCGCGAAATCTGATCCATGCCAGTCAGTACGGACCCTACAATAGCTAGAAAACCCGCCCTGAACACGATCAAGAAGTTGGGAGGTGGGTGGAATGACATTGGACCAAGGCGCAGCTGCGTAATGCTCTCTCCTGAAATTGAGTGGCATTGCATAAAATGAGTTCGTGCTTAGATACAGTTCGTTCAAACCTTTTGGGCGATCATTTTGAGAGGTCAGCCGGCTCGCTATCTCAACCAACTGTTGGAGAGTTTAGTTCGGAAAAACAGCTGAGAAATCGGTTGAGGCAAGTTCGACTCTGACAATGTTCTATCATGGCTCCAAAGATGGACTGCAGATCAGACGGTGTGTAGCCAGGGGCGGACTGGTCTGCTCTGAAGCGTGTCTCGACTCTGTCTTGGTAGTGGCGTGCATAATAGCAAAACTGTCTTATATATGCTACCCACGTTCGACTTGGGCATGCCGGCTGTTAAGTATTAATAGCTGCATGATCCATGCATTCTAAATATATTACGCATATATTCTCGCGTAAGTAACACTGCACATCATGTAACCACGGGGACGTTTGGTTTCTTCAACCTATATCAAAACACCAAAACGTGCCCACAAGGACCCCGTGATCCGCATGCTCCAAAGACTGTGGCGCCTCACCTGGTAGACGGGCATCGGCGAGGTCTGGAAGAGGATGTGGTCGGATCCGTACGTGTTCGTGATGCCCCAGGAGAAGCTGCTGGACGCCAGCTCCTCCAACGAGTTTATGTTCTTGCTAAATGACGGCACCGTCATCATAGCAACCAGCGACGACTTGTAGGCGGTGAGAATGATGATGCAGTACAGCCACCACCAGCCGAGAAAAGTCTGTTGAGTGCCAGGACATCACGCTCAGGTACATCAACGTAAGGTTAGTATTCGCCGATTTCTATCAATGTACGATGCGAACAAACTGTTCATGAGCAGGGGGTGTTCGCGGACAGCTGACCGGTCGACAGTGTGAAGCTGCGAATAAACACAAACGAAAAGTGGTTCGTGAACTGTTCACAAACTGTTGGTGAACACCCAAGCTTGCATTAATGAGAGCCATGCAAAGAGACCTTTTAACCTGTGTTTAGGGTATCCAACAACGTTGCAGGACAGAATTTCGTACTCGTTTTTTTTCGTACTTTCGTAAATTTCGTAAATTCGTAAGAGAGCCCACCGCGCTCTCTTACTCTCAGCCTGCCGCGCTCTCCTACCCTCAGCCTGCCGCGCTCTCCTACTCTCAGCCTGCCGCGCTCTCCTACTTTTAGCCTGCCGCACTCTCCTGCCCTTAGCCCACCGCGCTCTCTTACCCTCAGCCTGCCGCGCTCTTCTACCTTCGGCCTGCCGCACTTTCCTGCACTCAGCCTGCCGCGCTCTGCTACCTTCAGCTTCTACCCTCAGCCTGCCGCGCTCTCCTACCTTCAGCCTGCCACACTCTCCTACCCTTAGCCTACCGCGCTCTCTTACCCTCAGCCTGCCGCGCTCTTCTACCTTCGGCCTGCTGCACTTTCCTGCTCTCAGCCTGCCGCGCTCTTCTACCTTCAGCTTCTACCCTCAGCCTGCCGCGCTCTCCTACCTTCAGCCTGCCGCACTCTCCTATCCTTAACCGACCGCGCTCTCTTACCCTCAGCCTGCCGCGCTCTTCTACCTTCAGCCTGCCGCGCTCTGCTACTTTCAGCCTGCCGCACTCTCCTGCTCTCAGCCTGCCGCATTCTCCTACCCTCAGCCTGTCGCGCTCCTCTACCTTCAGCCTGCCGCGCTCTGCTACCCTCAGCCTGCCGCGCTGTCCTGCCCTGAGCCTGCCGCGCTGCACTTCTTCGCCAATGACAGTCAGTAACCGGGGAATATGGCACTCCAGCTGAGCGTTGGACGTAGCCTCCAAGCCGACCCTTCATTTTTCCTGTTTGACTTAACACCAGAAGACCTTGATTGGCCCTAGCTGAGACATATTTAAGGGGTTTCCGTGCGACCCCCGAGTGAGACGTTCGCTCCTCCAGCGGCCCAAGTGGCTCGTCGGTGCAATGTGTGGCTGCCAGGTCTGTCCAGAACACACAGCCACCATTGAGCTGTCAGGTCCGGTCAGAACACACAGCCACCGTTGGGCTGTCAGGTCCGGTCAGAACACACAGCCACCGTTGGGCTGTCAGGTCCGGTCAGAACACACAGCCACCATTGGACTGTCAGGTATGGTCAGAAACACAGCCACCGCTGGGGCATACTTCTGACATGCATGACAGCGGCCCCTGACGTCTATGGCAGGACATGGCTCTGGTCACACTGGCCACGCTCGGACACGTATTAGCGGCTCGGACACATATTATCAGGCGCAGCACCCCTTGAGGTGATCTGGACGCCAACCATACCAGAGGCTTCCGACAGGACTCTCAGTAGGTAGCAGTCTCGTTTTATCAGGCACGTCTGCACCTAACGCAGTATACAAATCCTGGTAGGCCGACATGTCACTTCCATATTAGGTGGCGTGGCTTTCATCGTTCATCACATCTTCCACGACCCAGCACTTCTAGCCCGGCTTCTAGCTCGCTCCAGGCCAACGCTCGGTAAGCCACGGGGTAGCTGTCTGCGTCTTAGTCACGCGCTGTGCTTTGGACTGCCGCAGGATGCACGAGCAGGCTTTCACTCTTGTGTTGTATGTGGTGCCCCCTAATTCATGGATTTGGCGCACACTGCTATGGCTAATCTTGCATTTACAGACGGATGAATACCGTTTACATTTGTGCTTGGTTGAACGGATTAGATTACTTCTTCGTCCGTCGGTCATCTTGAATATCGGCTCGCAAGCTTTGTCCTCACGTTTGTGCTCCGTGCCACTTCTTATATATGAATTGCTCAAATATTATAAACCGTTATCTTGACTTCTCAGAGATAAGATTTGCATGTGATTAGTTGGGCACAATTGCTTGCGTGACAGAAGTCATACGAAGATTTTCCTACGACATTGTGCGTACGAACAAATACGTTACACATAAGTGTGATGCAAAGTATTGTCCGCTCGCGACACAGCAACCTGTACGCTGGCATGTGGCGATAAAGCAATGGTGATGTGGCAATAAAGCTAAGCTGGCGATGGGCTGCTTAACGTAAAGGTAAGAAGCTTGCCGTGCGTGTAATTGCTTTGTTCATCGTTGGAATAATTCGGATGCGTGCGAAGTCGAGTAGCGTGGGAATTACAGCACAAGTCGCGTGTGTTCCTCAAATTTTGAATGAACCGGACCTTCGTTACATACGTCTTAAGACAGAATCGGAGTTCAAAGATGGAGTCAGTTTGTTCCACGTTCCTCTTGCGTGTCTTATCTGAGCAGTTCCGAGGCATACATGAGTCGATTCCCGTCACACGAGTCTGCATGGAACCATGTCGTGTGCCCAGACTCGCATGTCGTATGCCCGGACTCGAACCTGGTCTGCCACGTCGGCGGGGTAGACTCAGCCGGATTAGAGGAGGCGGAGCGACCGGCGGAGTCCACCGGGTTAGGGGAGTCGGAGCAATCGGCGGAGCTTACCGGGTTAGTCCGTTCCCCCCTTCTCGCTCTCGGGGTTTGCACTGTTAGCCGCACTACAGCGTGCTAGCTGGGGAGAAGGGGGAGGGGGGCAGGGTGGCAGGTTGAACGCTACGTGCGTCGCCTCTACGCCGCATTGCCTCAGTCCCCCGCTGAGTCAATTTGCTGTTGTATTCGCGTGTGTGTGCCTGTGCGAGCAGGCCTGCTGCGATGCTAATGGATGTTGTCCACGGCGGAAAGGCGGTATTACATTGGGTGTTCCGCGCTACTTGTGATGAAGGCCATGATTGCTATAGGGATGATCACCACGGCGCTTATACATGCGCATAGGTACTTCCCTTGCGTTATGGTTCGCACGTGCATGCATAATATGTCATGCTCGTGAATATACTGTGATTGATCAAAGTGCACGAGTTGGATTATGTGCTGTTGGTGAACTGCTGCCCTTCCGGGTGGCTTTGCTTATTAGCGATGACGAAAGCAAGAACATCATGGTGATACCGCCACGCGCACCAATATCCTTGTTTGCTGTGGAGGACACAGAACTGTAAATTTTCTGCCCAGCGCTAACCTGGGCGATGGCGGAGTTGGCCGACGGACGGCTTTGGCTCGGTGCTAACCTGGATGGCGGTGGAGTTGGTTGGCAGGCGACTTTTGTTCGGTGCTAACCCGGGCAGCGGTGGAGTTGGTCAGCAGATGACTGGCTTGGTGCTAACCTGGCCGGCGGTGGGGTTGGCCGACAGACGATTCTGGCTTGGTGCAAACTTGAGCGGCCAGACGACTCTGGCTCGGCGCTAACCTGGGCGGCGGTGGAGTTGGTTGACAGACTCTGGTTCGATGCTTACCTGGGCTGCGGTGGAGTTGGTCGACAGACGACTCTGGCTTAGTGCAAACTTGAGCGGCCAGACGACTCTGACTCAGCGCTAACCTGGGCGGCGGTGGAGTTGGTCGGCAGACGACTCTGGTTCGGTACCTACCTGGGCAGCGGTGGAGCTGGTCAGCAGATGGCTGGCTTGGTGCTAACCTGTCCGGCGGTGGGATTGGCCGACAGACGATTCTGGCTTGGTGCAAACTTGAGCGGCCAGACGACTCCGGCTCGGTGCTAACCTGGGCGGCGGTGGAGTTGGTTGACAGACGACTCTGGTTCGATGCTTACCTGGGCTGCGGTGGAGTTGGTCGATAGACGACTCTGGCTTAGTGCGAACTTGAGCGACCAGACGACTCTGGCTCGGTGCTGACCTGGGCGGGCGGTGGAGTTGGTCGGCAGACGACTCTGGCTCGATGCTTACCTGGGCTGCGGTGGAGTTGGTCGGCAGACGACTCTGGCTTAGTGCAAACTTGAGCGACCAGACGACTCTGGCTTGGCGCTAACCTGGGCGGCGGTGGAGTTGGTCGGCAGACGACTCTGGTTCTGTACCTACCTGGGCAGCGGTGGAGCTGGTCAGCAGATGACTGGCTTGGTGCTAACCTGTCCGGCGGTGGGGTTGGCCGACAGACGATTCTGGCTTGGTGCAAACTTGAGCGGCCAGACGACTCTGGCTCGGCGCTAACCTGGGCGGCGGTGGAGTTGGTTGACAGACGACTCTGGTTCGATGCTTACCTGGGCTGCGGTGGAGTTGGTCGGCAGACGACTCTGGCTTAGTGCAAACTTGAGCGGCCAGACGACTCTGGCTCGGTGCTGACCTGGGCGGCGGTGGAGTTGGTCGGCAGACGACTCTGGCTCGGTGCTAACCTGGGCGGCGGTGGAGTTGGTCGGCAGACGACTCTGGCTCGGTGCTAACCTGGGCGGCGGTGGAGTTGGTTGACAGACGACTCTGGTTCGGTACTTACCTGGGCAGCGGTGGAGTTGGTCAGCAGATGTCTGGCTTGGTGTTAACCTGTCCGGCGGTGGGTTGGCCGACAGACGATTCTGGCTTGGTGCAAACTTGAGCGGCCAGACGACTCTGGCTCGGTGCTAACCTGGGCGGCGGTGGAGTTGGTCGGCAGACGACTCTGGCTCGGTGCTAACCTGGGCGGCGATTGAGTTGGCCGGCAGACGGTGCTGGGCGTTCTCGCACATGGCGCCGTACGAGTTGAAGATGGACAGGCCGAGCGAGAAGCGCCGCTCGGGCTGCGGGTGCAGCCGCGTGAACATGAAGGCCAGGCAGCCGGAGATGACCGTGGATGCGATGGTGACCAACCAGAGCGGCGCTGCCGGAGCAGGCGCACCGCTCAGTGGGCGGGAGGGCGTGCGGGCACCGCGGCCACTGGCACCGAACAGCTGCCCAGCCCGGCGCTGTCGCGACGCCGGCCCGACCCCACTCCAGTCCCCTGCCAGCGACTCTCCGCATCAGACGGTCACGTGACGGAGGGGCCGCTGACCTGATGTCACGTGGTGCAGAGGGGACGGTGATCTGTTGTCACATGGGGCGATGGGACGATGAATTGCTCTCTCATGGAGCAGGAGGATGGTGACCTGATATCAGATTGGATGCAGGTGTCGGTGGCCTGGTGTCAGATGGGATGCGGGTGTCGGTGGCCCGGTATCAGATGGGATGCAGGTGTCGGTGGCCTGGTATCAGATGGGATGCGGGTGTCGGTGGCCAGGTATCAGATGGGATGCGGGTGTCGATGGCCTGGTATCAGATGGGATGCAGGTGTCGGTGGCCTGGTATCACACGGGGCCTTACAAAGGCAGACGTACGGGCGGCGGCTGTCTTCCACGTTTCACACGCGTAATTATTTCACGATTTGCGGCACTTGCGTGATTCTTGGCAACTGGTTCCATCCGTGGACTAGGCACATGCACGCTGCATACTAAGTGTATGCATTGTGTATACCCGTATATAGCATCTCTGATGATACCATTTGCCAACAGCTGTGAAGGACTAGGGCCATTGCCTTAGTCACACCGGCAAGCTTCCCACGCCTCGGATAGGTCACGGAGAGGGTCACGTGCGCTAGCATGGATATCACGTGTGCCACGATCAATGCACCCGTTGCGGTGCATGGAGAGGCTCCAAAAGCGGCGTCCTGGCGCCGGCGTCATACATTGGCAAACTGTCACCCGCGCATCGCCCTCGCCTTCCATTCCGCCATGTTCCCACAAATTATGACGCTGGGGAAGATAGGATCGATGCCTACAATATTGATCCGAAACACCCTTTGGCCAGATATTGCAGGCATTTAGCACTCGGGTGCGCACGACAAACATCCTCAGCCACATGCCATGGTTCACCTACATAGATGTGCACTTAACTGACCTCATGACATTGCATCGCCTAAAGCTGTCTGGAAATTAAAGAATACCTGAGCTTATAGCCACCTCTGATGATTTCAGATCATGCAAACACAAATAATGATCGTCAGATTAATGAACAAAATTCAAACGTTCTGTGTAATGTGCATTTTTAATAGCTGTTATATGCAACAATAATCAGCAAAATGATCATGTATTATTATTCCGCGGATGACCGTGGTACTGTACCGCAAAGTGCTAACGCATTTACATCAACACATTCTTTTTATGACAATGTAATACCTTGAGTGCTATAACAGCCCCATTAGTCGGTAGACTGTTGTTGAATGGCATATTGACGGCACGCACCTACATAGATCTCCCGAAGGTAGCAGGCGGCGTGGCCGACCAGTCGACTCATCGTCGCCAATGACGTAAACAAAACACGCCAACACGTTAAATCGGCACCATTCAAAACGGTGCGCGCACTACAGCTTGGGTGTCCTTGACATGTGGCTGTATGAACACCTTCACTTCGTCCCGGTCCATTTATACTGGTGTCAACACGTTTGTTGTCGAGATTGTTCGCGACATCTAGACCTCTTCAATGGCACGTGTGAGCATTATTATGAAATATATATATATATATATATATATGTATATATATGTATGTACGTATATATATTGGTGTTGAAATGCTACATGCAGTGCTGCATGTGTTGCGGGGCTGGAGATGCAATCACAATATGCATGGATGAAAAGCAGTTATGGATGAGCGATATAAATAAAGGTCATTGCATAGTTGGAAATCAGGTAGACATGCAAGGCATAGCGTACATTGCAAGTGCTCGTTTGAACCGAGCCATTTCGCCACGTCGTGGACTGCAAAGTGGTGATGGGGTGATGATGGCGTGGTGATGAGTGTGATTCTGAACTGGTCGACATTCAGACACGCACACGTCCGGTGTTTTGAGAGCGATCTCGGAGTAGTCTTTGAACTCAGGCAAAATATCACAAAAGTGTGCATAATATAGATTAGATGTGATTGACGTTATTTCTTCATCTATATATGTGTTCCGAATGCATGGTTTCGCGTCAGTGCCTCTGTCTCAGCTCGATCCGCGCTGCATCAGGCCATATCTGGGCGGAACCGTGGCCGAGTTATGACGTGCTTTCGAGTATGTGAAACTAGCAAAACAGATTTTGACCTTATGAGTTCCGAGTTCTTGTACTGAGTTATGGGCCTTCAGCAGACGAGGAGATGACTGAAATGACATTGTAGAGCAAGCGTTGCTTATGTTTTCACGACGTCTCAAGTTTGCTTATGATCAAGCCATAGTTTTCATGTAGGTAAAACATGTGTACTGGCATAAAGCAATAATACGAACAGCTTATGTGCAAGCGCACCTCGTGATCACAATCACAGCTGAAACGTGGAGTAATGGCCATATAACCGATGTTGTTTTACAAACGTCGTTAAACCACCACTTTTCTGGTACGTTGATCGTCGACAATCCATTATAAGAGCTCTGAACTAACAATGCTGAAACACCAGGGGCTGAAGGGCTTCCATGTATCAAGTAACCACGATTTTATGTTCACGTCATGATGCGACTACAGAATTGCATTTTTCCTTGAGGACCCTCCAACAGCTTCCCTCTTCCCTCCACAGAACCCAGCATCAGATTACCCCCCCCCCCCCCCCCACCAAATAGCACTTGCCTTTGTTCTATATATTAGTATCTTACACGATCTCACGCATCGAATGTAACATTGTGTTTGAATGTTAGGGTGATAAGCTTTCTAAATGAGTCAGTTTTGTGAGCTCTAACACAGGCTTAGGCCTAAGCAGTGCATAATTCCCCAGCAATTCTGATGAAATGTTGCTCGATGATGTTGCCCCATCGATATGTCGAGATCATGAGGAATTCACGAATTACATGCCAGCAAGCAAACAAACGGAATGTGATAGGGGTCCGCATGGTCGACTACGTTGGTTTCGCTCGTTTTACTCATTCACTCACTACATCTGAACAAGTAATGAACACGGATGCATGTCAGCTTTGCGAATCAAAATTGTGTATTTGTGTATTTGCACTGCAGCGACTGCTGCTTGTGGCATTGGAGGATACCGGTTCCCAAAGCTTAGAGAAGTCTGTTATCTAATTTGTTCTAAAGGCAACTGCGGGTAAATCCTGAAACATCGTTGACGCTATAAACAACTTGACTAATTCTCTACACCTTAACTGATGGCTGAGAACATTCTTAACTCCAGCATAACACCCAAAGAATGTGAAACATTCCAGATCGCTTTATTTGTAATTGTGCGTCATGTAGCACCGCATCGGGCACTCGGGATCACCGTAACGTCGCAGATGGCATGCCTTTTCCCCGTTTATCGGATAACCTTCCAGCTTTCGATGCAAGGGAATGAAGAGCGTGACATTGATTTATTGCACGGCTGACGCTTAAGTGCGTTGTTGATGAAAGGAGCTGAATGTCCATGAGGTCTAGAGGAATGGCGTCTGGTTTTGCTTGCATGCACCTTAGCTGATGATCAATCCATCAAATGGGTTTGCGAAAAAACGTACAAAAGAGATGGGTGTGGGGTAAGCAGCCCAGCATGAGCGGTTACGATAGCTGAAAGGTGAGCCATTCGATCACCGGTCCAGTCATCACGGGATGCCTTTTTCATGCAGGTTTTGCTATTTTACCAGGTGCAGCTCAAACAGGCCAGGAATAATTAAATGCTGAGGCCGGTGGAACTCATTGCCGGGATGACGCAGCAGCGGGTAAAAAATTTAACTTCTACTGCTCGGGTGGGCATATGAGGGTGTTTTGAAATTACTTATGTAGGATAAAAAACAGCCACAAAATTCAAGCATGCCAATGCATAATCAAACCCAATAGCCTGTGTTTCCTGACTAAAAGACATAATTAACCGTAACAGAATACGCACGATTCCTTTACACCGACCGTGGCCGCTCGCCCTAGCCCACCAGATACACACGGCACAGCACAAAGCCTTTACACCGACCTTGGCCGCTCGCCCCAGCCCCACCATACACACGGCACAGCACAAAGCCTTTACACCCCTTGGCCGCTCGCTCCAGCCCGGCAGATACGCACGGCACAGCACGAAGCCAGCATCCACGTAACACATGAGTAAGGAGACACTTACTTTCGAATGGTCGGAAGATGGAGAGCCACTGCGGCAGCGGCTGAGCAGGGCTCGTGACGAACACAAACGGGTCGATGGCGTAGATGCGGATGAAGCGGATGACGCCGCTGCGAGCGTAGTTCTGGGTGAGCACCAGCGAGAAGTCGGCCGTCCCGTTTATCAGCTCTCCCAGCACGCCCGTCCAGCGCCCGTTCTTCAGCTGCACACTGCCGAGCAGAGCGGTTCATTGTCACTCTGGGCTCCACCCGAATAAACGGCATGCCTTCCGTCTTTGCTTTGTACCTGCTGGACGGAGCTGTACACCGTTAGCCCTTTCTCTGCATCTTGCCCAACAGTATGACATCATCAGCTCGCCCTCTGCACCCTGCACGGCAGCAGAACACCGCCAGCTCTTCCTCGATCACCCTCCCTGCTGGTGGTGTGTCTCTCTATACCCTGTCCGACAGAGCGTCACGCCTGTGACGCTCTGTCACAGGGTATAAAGAGATACCCTGTGACATTCTGATCATGTGTCACATATCTGTGACATATGATCGTATACCTCTGCACCATGCCAGATAGGGCAGTGCACTGCCCGCCCTGCCTCCGCACCTGTCAGGCAGTACTTCCTCTGTCATCATGTCATCTTGCCACCCTACCACTCTGCCACCCTGTCACCATGCCACCATGTCACCTTGCACCCTATCACGCTGTCACCCTGCCACCCTCATCATCCTGTCACTCCGTCCCCCTCGTCACCTTGTCACCCTTATCATCTTGCAACCCTGCCACCCTGCCACCCTGCCATCCTTGTCACACTGCCACCCTGTCACCCTGCCATCTTGCCATCCTTGTCACACTGCCACCCTTGTCACACTGCCACCCTTGTCACACTGCCACCCTTGTCACACTGCCACCCTTGTCACCCTGCCACCCTTGTTACCCTGCCACCCTGTCACCTTGCAGGTGTGTCCTTTTACGCCCTGCCCGACAGAGCGGCGTGTCTCCGGCTCTCCCTCTGCACCCCGCCCGATAAATCAGTATTCCGTCTGTCCTCCCTTCCTACCCCGCCCGATAGATCGGCATACCGTCTGTCCTCCCTTCCTACCCCGCCCGATGTATCGGTATACCGTCTATCTAATTTTTCCAGCATGACCCTCCCTGCTTCACTCGACAGGGCAGTACATTATCTGTCCTCCCTCCGTGCCCCGGTCGACAGGGCGGTACGTCTGTCCTCACGCTGTATCCACGCCGGCAGAGCGCTATGCCACCGCGCTGAGTGTTGTTTACCTATACGTATCCTTCTTTACAGCAATTCGTCCGTTTGTTTTTGTTTGCGGTATTTCCATGTTATCTCCGAATTTAAGTGGCGCATCGAGGCGCACGGTTCCAGGCACACGACGGTGCCGACCGAGCCAGATCAGATGGCACAACCAGGCGCACGGATCCAGGCACACGACGGTGCCGACCGAGCCAGATCAGATGGCACAACCAGGCGCACGGTTCCAGGCACACGACGGTGTCGACCGAGCCAGATTAGTTGGCACATCCAGGCCCATGGATCCAGGCACACGACGGTGCCGACCGGGCCAGATCAGATAGTCAGCCTGAATAGGCGCAAATATGGCGTGTGGAAGGAGCGAAGCTGACACGTGGTTGATGAATGGCCCACTGTTCGCCGGCGACGAGACGGCAAGCTCAGCGTGTCACCCTCAACACCCGCAGGTGAAATCGATAGTGGACCGCGGCTGCTGAATTACATGAAGTACCGTACCAAGCGGCTGTGTATAAAGATTGGTCATAGACTGGGTTGTATATACATTGCGATGTCATGGATATTTTACTATGAACAAGGCAAACATTCATATGGTTGTGAGACCATTACATGAAGTTCTTTACAATGCATTACCATTGGAACTCTACGCAGACACATAGCCGCAATCGCATAACAGTAACTCACATCCAATGCCCAGTAACTCGACACGCGCTCGGCTGGGGGTCAAATTAACCAGAGGAAGATATTCCAGAATGACTTCCGGACGGCGCGGCATAGCCGCGCCAAAGTTTTCATAGCTATAGAGAACTAAGTAGAGCATCTTTTTAAGTAAGAAATGGATGTACCTTGTAAGGTCGCTGACGTACGGCAGGTCAAAGTCAGGCCATGGCCGTCGGCGAAGGGCATTTCTAGGGAATCGTTCAATGTGATGCAACAGCAGAGTGTTAGACGAAGCCATATATATCTGCGGTAGTTTCTTGGCAATCAACCGTCTGAATTAAGAATTTCACCCAATCCCATTGATTTAGGGTCAGGTATAAAGGTCAGAACGAGGCCAAAACTAACCTGCTTTTTCTCGAGACCCTAGATTCATGGGGTGGTTTCTGGTGCTCATTTTAAATTTATTAATGACGGGGACCGCAACAGATGCGTTCCATGGACTTTTAGAGGCCAGAGTAGATCCTGACCTAAAATGACCCGGGTCAACATTATGTTTTAGGAACATACGGTCTAGCGTAATCCCTGACGCTTATTCGAGTGGCAAAATGGGAGCAATCTCCCAGGTATTTGGTAGCCTTGGTCTTACGAAGGTTGGGCAAGGTCACTGACTTCATTGACCTTTTGCTTAGAACGGGGATCTAGCTTCACAGCGGTTGCATGAGGAGCTCTGAGGGCACTTGAAACACTAATCTGGAGTTTGATCTTGTTTGACCTTATTTGACCCAAGACCATGACCTAAGAACCTCAAATTTTGACTCAAGTGAGTTCACGGACAGACTACTCTATCCTGTGAATTTGGTGTCTATAGCTACCTTGTTTTGGGGATATCGTGGGTCAAACTGACCCCCACCCGCGGGGGTGTTCAGCACGCCGGCCGGGTGCGTGTTGAGGGCTGTTCGAGAGTTTGCCTGCTTGTTAAGGGCTAGAAAAAGTTCATTTATAAACAAGTGTTTGGAGGCGTCTTGATTTCGAAATGTCTTGTCATCACATGTCCAAAAAATGTCAGTGTTGTCTGTCCGTTGCTGACGCGTTAATGTCCCGCCATGTGCGTGTTGCATGTGCTCCAGTGATGCTCCGTCGCGAAAGGTTCGGGAGTGTCGTATATCCAAAAATGTGGTGAATTAAACGATGTTTGCAGCCTTTGTGATTTGAACTGACCTCCCCGTACCAGTGCACTTGAGTTGGCTAGGCTGGTCCGCACTGTTTCCAATAAGAAAGTCCTGAGTCGTCTACTGCAATAGCAAATGATGAGGTCTCTTGTGTGGCCGTTCACGTCATTTACATGTCACAAGATGATTTCCCGTGCAGTCTTTGCAACTTTTTCAACAAGAATCGAAAAACCATTGTTCACCGAAGTCTGTTTGATCGTACTAATTTCGGAAGAAGTCCTGTCCGGTCAGAACAATGTTTAAATGCACGTCTGCGCAATGACCTACGACGCCTGACAAGACACTTATGCGACTAGGTAACCTCGGAGCACCGTAAAACGCGCATGACAGGACAACAACGCGACAGAAACTGGCGGACAACACTGACATCCTCTAGACACGCGATGACAGAAGATGTTTTCAAATTTGGGGGCGCACATTTTGTAATGAATTCTCTCCAGCCCTAAACGAACAAGCAAACTTTTCCATAACGCGTAAATTTCTGGGTATCAGGCGTTAGTCGCCGTCCAGTGATTTTGGCTATTTTTTTCCGGTGATATTTTAATATTGCTGGTTAGTTTTACATACATTCAGGTGCAGACTTGTCATCACGTAAATAATTGTCTCTTGTTATAGGATCGATTGCCCTCTCCGCAGTAGCAAATCACATGACAACATAGTTGTACAACTTCCGTCTCCTTAAATGTTTGAAACCTGTCATTTGTTTCATTTATTTATTTCCATGATGAGATATGATCTCGAAACATTAGGCCATCAGATACCAACGAATATATGAGTGATTTTGCAAAAACATTCTCTAACCCGAACGATAACATGGAAACGAAAGTGGAGAACTCGAAGCGCAAAAACTTCGTTAAATTCGAACCCGCGTTGTTTTAAAAAATAGACCATGCATGAAACAAAATTCAAGATATTCAGACACACACACACACACACACACACACACACAACCAACACACACACCCACACACACACAACACACACCACACCCACACACACACACACCACCCACACCACACACACACACACACACCACACACACACCCACACACACACACACACACACACACCACACACCACACACACACACACACACCACCACACACACACCACCACACACACACACCACACACACACACACACACACAACCACACCCACACACACACACACCACCACACACACACACAAACACACAC